TATATATATATATATATATATATATATATATATATAACTTATTTTTTAATTTAATTAATTCTGTTGATTTAGTAAATTGATTAATTCCTAAAGATTATAATTCTTTTTGAATCCTGAATGATTGAATAAATTTTATCTTGCTGCGATAAAAGTAACAAAAGTAATTTGAGAGTTTCTTATTCCTTTAACGAACATATAATTTCAACTACTACTTTGACTCCTCATGTCAAGACCAAAAGAATACAACATATATGCAAAAATATACAAAGAACTAGCTTTCTTTGGTTCCGCAAAATTTAGCAAAACTTGAAATATTTTAAAAATGCATTATAATTATCGGATTTTTTTGACATTTTATTTTAATATTATTAAAATAATGAAATTCTACAAATATACATACAAAGAAATGTTTTAAACTCAAATATTGAAGATTCATTTTTGTACAACTCTTCTGTTGAAGAAAGGTAATGTATAAAATATCTTTGCTAACTTTATAAAAATTTGATATAAAACTTACCATTCATTACTAGTAGCTTCAGAATTATTAATTCCAGCAGAGATAATTGATGATCCGGTTACTAAGTAAATAGAAAAAACAGGCATTACTTATACTAATTTTGCGTACAGTGTGTCAAAAATTTTTATGACACAATATGATTTCCCAATAATTTATTTAAATACAGAACTCATAAATATTATTATATGCGAAAAGGGTTAAGTATATGAGACTTGATTAAGCCAAATCTCGGTGTATTTTTAATCCGCTCAGGGGCGTAACGAGAAAATTTTTATTAGGGGATTTCTCCTACTTCACCTCGTGTCTTAAAATTAATTTCCTTTGAATTGTTTGTTTTCAAGGTGAAAATTACGCTTATGTGGAACACGGAATGTCGAAAAATTTTTTCAGAAAATATTTTAAAAATCATTATAAAAACATTCAATTTTAAAGTTTCAGTAAACAGCAATCCTTATGAGAAAGGGGAGGGGGGTTATAATCCTGTATACTTCCCCATCGCTACGCCACTGAATCCAATTGTAGTGAAAAAAAATATTTAAGAGGAAATGAGAGAGAGAGAATAAAAAAAAAATTAAAAATTGGTACACGGTCAGTTCTGAATTAAGAAAAAAAATACGAAACAGTTAATATCTTGTTGGAACTCAATTGCATTTTTTATCCCTTTCAGTTAATGCGGATAGATTTTACTAATTGAAAGCGAAGTGATGTGTCTTTTTAAGCTACTCTTCGACTTAATCCTATCTAGAATCCTACCTGCTAGATACCTGATGCTCATTGATTCATTGTTGTAAATAACTCGTGGCGTGTTCAAAGGAATCAAGAGCTAAATTCTAGAAAAGACTTGCCAGTAAATCAAACAAGAAAAATCACATATCAGTAAAGCAAACCAAAATTCAAGTCTAACATAAGCTGACACTTATATAATACAGTCATTGAAAGACAAAAATAAATTTTAAGGATAAAACAAATATAACAATTTTCAGATTTTAATCTGATCAACATTTTAATAATCATTCGACGCACATAAAAAATAAGCAACTTGGAGCTTTCAAGGATATTCCCAGTATCAGGATATCTACCCGAAGGATATTGTTAACGTATGTAAATTGTTGATCATGATATCGTCAAGAATGCCCTCTCTCCTCTATCGTTAAGATCCTCTATGAAAGTCCTGATATCGTTAAGATATCCAACCGTCACATTTTTTCAATGAAAAAGTCCGGTATAAAATTTTAGAGCTTAAGCTCTCTGTTTAGAAAGGATAGAACGGATTAATTAATATTATTCTTCTCATTTGTGTCTGTTGTCTCTGCTTCAGTCGGCTGGAATCTGAATCTCATCCTCCCCTCCCCTTTTTAACTAAAGATTTGAGAGTTTTAATCATGTTCAGTTACGTCATCATAGTAAAACAACCAGGATCCTAAAATTAATAAATTAATATTTGATAAGATATAATTTCTCTTTATTTGTTCGAATGTTCAAGTCTCAATTCTTGATCGTCATCTCATTCTCATATGTTTAACTGTACGATGACGGATATAAAAATTACTTAGAAGGCTTATAAAATGTTTATTTAATTCTTAGCTTTATTAATCTGAGAAAGAGGCAGCATTTCAGAATGGCGCAGAGATAGAGCACTGGTCTAATGAACGAGAGTTCCCGGTTTCAAAGCCTAGAGTTGGTAACATTAATACTTCACATAAAAGCTTTTTGGCGCCGTGTCTTAATTGGTTAAAGCGCCTGTTTAGTAAACAGAAAATCACGAGTTCGAATATCGTCGGTGTCTAAATGGTATAACTTTTTACCATCTTTCGCGCCTCGCATCCACACTTGAAACTCTTTTTTAGAGAATATAATTCTCGGTACTTAATACTTTTCTATTTTTTAATCAAGTGATCAAATTCCTTCCTCATCTCTCGCTCATTCCTACCTGAACTCGTTTCCTGTCTCGCCATGTCCACGTCATGTCACTTCAGACAAAGTAGACGTTATTGTTTAGTCATTGGTCTTTCAAAAACGTAGAATACGTGATATCATTTTCACTTAGAATCTTCCACGTGCTGCACTGGGAAATCCAACATGGTGGGCTATAGTTCGCGTGTTCGAATTTGGTGCGTCTAGCACATTTTCCTCAATCTCGAAACCGTACCTTCATTCGGACTCATGACAGTCCTCTAAAAAATACCACTCTCAGAAAATTACTGGTTCAGGCTAGTAAGAGTCTACATTAGGGAGTATGCCTCATCTGAAATCTTTGGAGTTCCAGCGCTATACGGCTCGGTCACAGAACTTGGCAGCTCTGTATGTCATATGCTTATCGGTTAAATCCATGTCTGCTTAATTAACAATCCAACTACATTAGCGACCTGGTGTGAAATGAAGCTTCTTTGTAATCGGAACAGCCATGCAATTCCAACGCCATATACGAGTCTGGATTGCATTCCCGACCCATCTCTGTAATGAGGTTATGAGTCGCTTAGGTTACTCCTTAAATTCAAGAAGTTTGACAACCTGATGTTGAGACACCCGGTAGATCACATTCTTGATACAAAAGGGCGAAAAATATAAATCTAAAATTGTTTTGACTTAGTTCAAAGTTCTTTATTTTATCAAATGTAAAATGAAATAACAAAATTATTGAAGTAAAAACTAACGAGAAAAAATATGTGTAAAATTAATTACTGAAAATGTGTTGA